GCCTGGATGTAGAATATCACCCGTCTGGTATGTGCGCTGAAAGTCATCCTTTTATAGTTGCTTTTAGAAGACTTACTTTATTTATTCATTTTATTTCACTTCACTGTTTTACACTTGAAAAAAGTTCTGCATACACTTTAGTTTTACAGTTACAATGACAATAAAGATGTTCTGCAGAAGATAAACGAGTCACTGCAAACTGGAAGTTTTGTGAGAAAAGCCGAAGCTGTAAAACAGCCACCGTGTTTTTAATCTGGCATTTCTCTTCAAACATTTTTATTAGGAAGCAAGCAAACAAAGCTAACAGAGAAACCAAGCCGCCCCCGTCCAGCCCTGAGGCGTGCTGCCCCGTGACGCCTCATGTTAGCGCTGCATGAGTGATGAATAAGGTGATCACTGGCCCCCAGATCTTCCTGTATTCCTCCAATCTGTCTATGAAGACATGTCTGATTTCCTCCTGCTGGAAAGACGGCTGAAAGACAGAAGTTCTGCCTCCTTCCAGCGCTGCAGAACCAGCTTCTTAGCACAAACGACTGCATAACAGAGTAAACAGTGCTGAGCTTTTGAGAAGTTTTCTGAAGTTTCTGAGACGCCGGATAAGATTCTCACCGGATCGGGTTTCATTTGCACCAAAAGAGAAGATCTCCCACCAGAACCCTTGTAACCTTGCAGCAGAACGTGGACGTACCTGTAACGGGCTCCTCCAGAACCAGCTTCCCTCCGGGCTTCAGGACTCGGACCATCTCCGCCAGAGTCTCTGAGCTGTGGATGGACGAGCTGTCGGCCAGGAGGCAGGACAGAACCCAGTCGAAGGAGGAGGCGGCGTGAGAGGCTGGAGAGAGAGCAGGATGAGTGGGATGAAGATATCAACCTGCTGCATCTCATATCTGACTGTTTCCTGTTTGCATCAAACCTTATGCAGCTCTTCAGAACACCTTTAAGCTCCTCAAATGTTCCTCCTGAATGTCTTGATAATAAAGGAGCAGTCTACAGTGTTCTGAGTTGAAGTTTAACAGAATTAAATAACATCAGGTCCTGTAATACATCTACATGTGTCCTTGACTAACTTCACTTGAGTCGTGACTGTGAATGTGTCGATACGTGACATAAACAAAGCCCTGCTGCTCGACGGTAGCTCTGAACCAGGTGAACTCACACATCAGCAGCCTCTCCATGTTCTCCACGGCCATCTTGCCGTCAGCGCCGACCACAGCGCCCAGTTCTTCTGCATACTGCTTCAGAGCTGCCGGCGTCGACGGCTGAGTCCAAACCAGCATCACCTTATTGCCGGGTGCGATGCCGAGGTCTGCCATGATCTCCTGGAGGGAGGAAGAACATGAGGTGGAACGTGACTCAGCTGAACAAACACTGGAGCAGCACAGGCCTCCATTATGACGTTCTAACAGCTCTACACAAAGGAGGAGGGTATTTATACCACAACATTCTTAAAATACTGAAGCTGGGAAGGTAAATATGACGGCTAGCGGTTGATCCTGGCTTTAAGCTCAAACTGCAGTCAGTGAAGGTCAGAAAGCTGCTTCGTTCTGCAGCTCCAGAGGAAATGGGGCCCAGTTGAAGTTCAGTCACACCACGTTGGCTGGAGTTGGGCAACAGGAGCAGCGTACTGACAAACACCTGCATGACGCTGATTCAACCTGGTTCCACAAACGACTACATCGGAGCAAACTTCACACCTTAAACTAAAGGTTACACACTAATTGATATCAGCTGCTTCGTACTGATGCAATCAAACTGAGGAAATGTGTAATTTTGTGACTGAGCCTACCTGGAAGCACATTAGAAGTATAAATACTTCAAAAAGTATTGAAGTTATCTCACGTTTTGCACACTGAGTTTTAACGTACACTCAGTAAACCATTATGACAGAGTGAAAACGTGTTTTTAGACATTTTAGCCAAACCTTTATAACCTCAAAAACGTAAATTTTTCATTCATAAGAGTATTCAGAGGGTAGACTCAGTGTCTTATAGGAGCTCCTATAGTGACAAGATGTTTCCTCTCTAACAAGGTTTTAGGCAGTAAAATCACCAGCAGAAATAGATTTTTCTCCCCGTTTATTACTTTGGGTTTCATTTACTGCACATAACAGACCGTTTTGTTTGTCACATGGTCAGAATTAACAGAAAAACCCTCAGATTTCTATAAGCATAAGCAGCAGAGCTGTTGTCTTTACATACGGTCATGATTACTGTTGTGTGTAGTCGCTCCTGAAAAACTCATTCTGTGCCAGAAAACACCTGATTACAGGTTCTGCACACCTGGATTTAACAAGTTCATCTCAGATCCTCTCAAACTGCTGCACACTGGATTAAATGTATGTGAATGATCTGTTTCCAGCACCATACACGTGTGATCTGGTTTCTTTGTACCAGGAAACATGACATTCCAGGTTTGGGAAACACTGATCCACATCTGTCACCATTTTCTAACATCTTATAGATCAAACTACTTCGTGTTTATGGAGAAAATAACAAACAGACTAATTACAAATGAAGATGCTGGTTAGCTGCAGCCCTGGTGGTTGTGTTGGTACTTTTACTAAAGGATGTAATCTGAGTACTTCCTCCATCACTGGCAAAAGGGCAAACAAGGCCACAGCTTGGAGTCACAACAGAAAGTCTGAATAAAATGATGGATTTCAGATGTTTTGGTTCATACAGTCGTCTTGTCCTTCTGATGTTAGAGGTTACTGAATACTTCCCAACTCAAATTAAAACTCCAACAAACCACATTGCATCAGCCTGTCTGTTTAAGCCTCAACATTTGACTTCAAATGTTAATAAATCATCAGTGAGTGACCTGAAACAATAACCTGAGCCTGTTCTAAACACCATGAAGCTAACAGCTAAACCTTTATAATTAACCTTTATTATTAACAATTATACTAACTGCTAGCCTAAATGTCACATCAGTAGCGCTGAACTTTAGGATGTTCTCGAAGGTTCTCCTTCTTAAAACCACAGATTCTACAAGGAACAGTCGAGAAACGTGTTTATAAAAGTCTCGTAATAGTTAACTCAGGTGACAGACTCACTAATTAGCAGTTAGCGGTTAGCTTGCTGAGGACAAACAGCGTGACGCAGGAGCCGGTGTCGGCGGTTATCAGACTCCTAAACCCGGAATAAACACCGCGAGAGGCCGGCACACGGCTACATGCTAACACGATACACTGATATTAGTGTAATGTTGTTCTAAAATAATTCTGAAGGCTAAATAGTTTGAATAAACACATTTAATCTGACTGCGACTCACCTGCTATCTTGATGGCAGTTCAGCTGTCAAGTTACGCATTGAAAATGCTGCGTTCGGTTTCCGTTTTCAAAATAAGATATAACATTTGGTAGTATAATAATAACATTTCAAGTTTTTTTCAAGGCGTGTGTGTGTGTGTGTGTGTGTGTGTGTGTGTGTGTGCTTTGTCACTTTTGTGTTATGGGTTATTCAATATTTCTGATCAAGTTAAATATATACATATACGTATATTATACAATGTGACATACACATATACAATTATACCTGACTAAATTAAATATTATGATGAAGACCTCACAATATTATTTTGCTGCGACTTCTAAACAAAGTAAAAAGAGGATGAGGAGGAGCTTCTTTCCTCAGGCTGTCCGTCTGCTGAACCTGAAACAACAGACTCAATAACAACCCAACCGGTCACTTTGCACTTTTTCACCTTGTATATACACCCATGTATATAATCTTATTTATTTTATTCCCTTTTGCACATGTTTGATAATTTGGTTTGATTTATTTATTTCTGCTATTTCTCTCTCTCTCTCTCTCTCTCTCTGTATATTTATATATATTTTTAAATTTATTGTGTGTTTTATTCCTTAATTCTATTCCTCTTATTATTATTGTTCGGTGTGGGACAGGTGCACAATGTATTTCACTGCGCGTTGCATCATGTGTAACTGTGTTTGTGACCAATAAAAGACCTTGAATCCTTGAAACCTTGAAATCTGCGAGTTTTATTTTGAAGGCAAAACTGTTGTTGTTTTTGTTTCTGTCAAGGTCGCAGTGAAATGACGTAGCGGTGCGCCTCGAGATGGCGCAGTAGAGTGACGCAGCCGCTCGGTGCAGCTGGACATGGCGGCGCTGCTGAGAGGTCTGCGGGCTGGAAGGGCACTACGGGGGCTGAGCAGCGGTAAGACCGGACCGCCGGGCCGGTGCTGAGTCGTGCTGGTAACGGACAGCCCGTGAAATGACTCCTGCAGCGGCTGTTCTCCCGGTTTTAGCCGCCTAGCTGGTAGCCTGCGTTAGCTTTAGGCGCTAATGTCACCACAGAGAAGGTGATCATGAAGGACAGAACTGTGTGACTTTAACTCTGTTGGGGCTTGAAAGCCCGAATCATGAGCAGGTCGGACGTGATTCGGTGGAGCTCGTCGGTCTGCTGCAGCTCAGTCAGCTCACTAACATCGCATGTTAGATCTGAAAACAGGCTGCTGCAGCTGGAGGCGCTGCGGTTACACAAGCTGTCGGACTCCAGTAAACTATATTTAGCTTCGTTTGTTTTTAACTGACAAGAACACACTAACGTTAAAGTTCCACTGTTTAGATGTTGTAGCGCCCACAGATTAGCCAAACGTAATATTGTTTAGGTTTTAAATTATTTTTGTAATTTGTTAAAGTAAAAACGTCAGATGTTTTTAGCTTTTTAAATGTAGGAGTCATAAAGTGAATCATTGCTGTGGCTGCATCTAGTGACTATTATTTAAAAATGTTCAAACTGAACTAAGAAATGAAGCAGCAACATCTTTGTCTTCTTTTTTTACTACTTTCTGACTTTTTGTGGACAAAACAGTGAAGAACATGTCTGCATATGAATCAGTCGTGACCGTCAGCCCTTCCTTTTCCTTCCTTTGTCCACTGTGCCAGTTATTAAACTCCCTGCTTCCTGTTTTGATCATTGATTTATGGGTTTGAGCAGTTTTTCAAAAGGAAAAATCTAAGTTCTGTGATTCTAGCTTGTTAAACGTGAATATTTTCTGGTTTCTTTCCTCTTTGACAGTAAACTGAATATCTTTTGACCAAACGAGACATTTGTCATGTTAGCCTTTGAGAAACACTGATCACATATTTTTCTTCATTTCACTTTTTGAAGAAAATTTGAATTAGTTGCAGCCCTCCAGTGCAGTGGACACGAATGCATCATAAACTCTCTCCACCACTAATGTGCTCCTGAACGTTAGATTTATGTAAAAATGCGTTTGTTTGTGGCGTTGGGAGTTAAATAGAGAATCGGGAAAACTTTAAATGTGGTTCCTAATAAATGTAAATTCTCCTTTTTGAATCTGAGTTGTATGTAAATGTGAGCTTTTATAGTGAAGTTTGATCACATTGGCTCCCCATCAGATGTTTAAATTATTTGTATAACCTCGTTAACGACATCCAATATTAGTGTCACACTTTAAATGATAGCAAGGAACAAATTCACAGACAGGACACACACGTGACTGATGGCTGTAGCGACACACGTGATCATCGGCACACTGTGTTAACAAGTGCTTGAGTTGGTGACGGACTCTCCAGCAGCTAATCCAGATGTTTCTTCTCTCCAGTTGTTGCTGCGCCGACGGCAGCGAACCCTCAGTGCCCCGGCTTGAGTCGAGGTTTCCACCGAGCAGCCCTGAGGCTGCAGGACGAGTCCAAATCTGACAAACCTCCGTCCTCATCTTCATCCACAACCTACCACGAGCACTACCAGGCCCACTCTGCAGAACATGACACGGCAGAAGCTTCCCAGCATGACTCGGCATCTGACCCGGCAGCAGAGCAGCCCGAACGGCCAAACACCAGGTGAGGCAGAGCGGAAGTGTTTGTGGTTTACGAGATGCCGCTCCGGACGTCAGGAGCTTTATTCATGTCAGTGTTTGTGTTCGTGAAGCTACCAGGACCAGAGCGGCGAGCAGGGCGAAGAGTATGAAACCGAGGAGCAGCTTCAGGCTCGAATCCTGACGGCGGCGCTGGAGTTTGTCCCCCAACACGGCTGGTCGATGGAGGCGATCGCTGCCGGAGCTGAGGTGAGCTGCTGTGAAGCCTCTGAACCACAAAACACATCGAATAGACGCCGTTTATCAGCCAGAGAAACAGATAAAACAGAAATAATGGTTACATATTCAGTTTTCCAGCAGTCGTCTGTGACATGCAGATGTAGAGAGACCATTTTCTCCAGAATCAGTAAAACCTGTGTGTTGAACATGTTGATTCTAAATGTTTTTATTTAATCTGGTAACACAAAAATCTAATAAATGAGAATGAGCAGCGCAGTAGATGTCAGGTTGTCTGTTGTTGTTGTTGTTGTTGTTGTTGTTGTTAATGTTGTTGTTGTTGTTGTTGTTGTTGTGTTGCTCCAGACTCTGGGTCTGTCCTCGGCGTCCAGCGGGATGTTCTACAACGGAGCAGGAGATCTGGTTCTGCATTTCATCGCTCAGTGCAACTCGCAGCTGACGGAGATTCTGGCTGAGCAGCACAACCAGATCCAGCTGGGTCAGGCCGAGTACGTATCCACACATCACAGTCCAGCGGGCCGAACCATGAAGCCAGACCAGTGGGTCAGCAGGAGTGTTGATCCAAAGGCCAGAGTTTTCAGTGTCACAAAGGGGGTTCTATTTTTACCTGCTAGGTCTCCATGGTAACTGAGGGTATTATTAATAATTATTATTTCCACCATAAAGCAAAATAATTATATAATAATATAATAATTCAACAATTTCCCTGAGGTACCGTCCCAAAGGGATCAATAAAGTTCTACAAAGTTCTATCTAAATATTGCATAAATTAAAACTATTAAAACCAACCTTTAAATTATAAATCTCAGAGTCAGCTGAATAATTCTAATAAACTGTTTACTCTTGGTGATGAGTCCAGAGTGTTTTATAATGTCAGGGAATTAACTTGGAGCTCAGGTAACTAAAGACCGGATACATAAAGTGACTGAAAGTAAGCTCTAGAAAACACAGGAAACAACTGTATACACACACATTTATTACTAACTACAACAAACAAATAACAACAACAACAAACATAAAATACAAACGATGATGAGAATGCTGAGTCAGAATCTGAGAGTGAGAAACCAAATGTGGAGCAAAAAGTCTTTTCACCCGAAGCAGCAGATTAAACTGTTAGATTTGGGATGTTTGTTTGAAGGCCAGCTGTAATGCTGAAGCAGCCGTTTAGAGACAGAAGCTCGATACTTGCAGCGTCCTTGGCGGGTGCAGCAGCGTTTGGAGTTGGGAGACTCGTGACTTCAGCTTGGACCAGAGTTGATCAGGATGTGGCAGTTGAATTGTAACATGAGAGAACAAAGTGGGAGATTCTGTGGCTGGTAGAAAATCCTCGGTTTTTCAGGTGAAATGTCTTTTAATCGTAAAATAGCTGACCAATCACGAAGGGCTCCCCTCCCAGAGGGGTTGTTCGATGCGGTGCCCCTATGTCACAGGGGGGTCATGAGGTGGTCAGAGTTCTGCTCTGAAAGCACCACTGTTACTTTAGAACTATATGAACTCGTAGTTATACAGAGTTAAACCTGCTGAAATTAAATATCTCACATTTAGAGCATCGCAAAGAGTCTAAACATGAGATCTTAATCTCTCCCTGAGGACATATGATTATACACCAAACAGATAAAATCAAAAAGGGTTTGTCCAACTATGATTAAGTTTTGGGGTATTTATCAAGATATGATGTGCTTTAACATTTAAGAACCCCTTAAACTACCATAAGATAGTGAGGCACATTAAAATCCTCTTGTGCTTTCTTCACCATTGTCCATGCTCGCATTCTTTTAAGTCCACATGTTGCATTCCACTGAGAGGAGGAGCAGGAAGAAGAAATGAGGGGAGAGGAGCAACACATTAAGCCAGACGCCATTTGTTAGGATCCTTGTGGCTGAATGTTTTCCTTCGTCTTCTCCAAAAGGTTTCTTTGTATTGCGATCCTTTGAAACTCTGACAGGTGTGATAAGGT